GCTAGTAGCACTACTCGTCCCAAGCAAAAAGGGTCACTGTCGGGGCGAAAGCTAATTGCGAGTTGTGAAATGCGATTTGGACAATGGCGGTCACGTGGGAAAAAGCTTGCTTTCACAGTTCAGTGCTCTAGCCACTCGTCCTACTCATCACTCTTGTACGCATGGGGGGCAGGGCCGGGCCGTCCATGCCATCTTCTACCATGGTCTTCCCTTTGGTTCAGACTTCAGAATCAGAGGCATCAGATATTCAGATACAGAGATACTATGCAGTACTAGTTGCACATATTACGTCTACCTGAACCTGACGCAACTAAACTCGGACAATTCTGTCTGGCCAGTGGCCGTAGATATCTCGAATCAGAGGCTCGGTCCAGCCGTCACCTACTTATGCTAAGCTATGCATTAGGTGTCCCGTCGTCGCAAACAAGCTCTCTCGCATGGTGTGTCACCTCACCTACCACCATGAGAGGAGAGTGGAGAGCGACCCGAAGAATACAGAGAAGGACGGACGGATAGGGGAGATGCACAGGGATGACAAGTCGTAGAGGCAACCAAACCAACCAGGTGGCGGACGTGGGCAGTGGCACAGCGCGGGTAGACCACCGGCAGCGCACCCAAAAAACATGTACCCCAGACCGAGCCGCAAGTCGGCTTGCCGCGTTCACATTGCGATTTGGATTTGGATTCGGGCGCCCGACTAGCTAGCTGGCTAGCTGACCGGGTCCAGGAAGCGGCCACGGGGCGGCCTCCGCTGGGCCTGGCTACAGGCTACTAGTACGGTCCTGCTGCACGGCACGCACGTCTCGGCGTTTGCAAGGGATCTAAACTCGTCAATTAAACAAAAATAATTGCCCGGTCGATCGATGAATAACCGAACGAAAACACTGAAGCATGAACCCGCACGACCACACAGACAGAAATCAATAAACTTCTAATGGCATTTCCAACATTGATCTGCAAATTTTCTTCGGTATCCGTCTGCTAACAGAATGACCAATCAGTGGATACCAATGCAGAAACCGACCATCTAATACTGCCAGCATATAGCCGACTTCCATTTTTTCAAAGTCTGTATGTTAAAATAGCCACGTACATAGTCTAAAATAGTTCAAATTCAACCGTAGTTCTAATTATAAAAGTACACTCCAACAATATTGTCCCCTTGGCCCCTTGATCGCTCACAGATGCTCAATCAGATCTTCCTCCATTGCTCGTGAGTTGCTTGATGCCAAATCTATTG